CTTGTGTTCCCTCTCTCGCTGTGTCTCTCTCTGTCAAATAAATAAATAAAATCTTTAAAAAAAAAAAAAAAGTAAAAACATACGGGACACAGTCTCGAATCTCTTTGTACTAAACAACACAGAATTATAAAGTGACACAAGTTATTCAGAAATAAGATAACAAGTAAGACTGTACTATAATGGTGGGCAATGTTTTAACCTCCTTTATGTCCTTAATTTATTTCAGAATTCATGAGGTAAATGGATTAATTCTTTTATCATTGTGGATTGGGGCATATAACAAAATTTCTAATGATACTGTGTATAAATAAAAAGGACTTTTAAAAAAAGATTTTATTTATTTATTCATGAGAGACAGAGGCAGAGGGAGAAGCAGCCCCCCCGCCCCTCGCCCCCCGGCCCCAGCAGGGAGCCTGAAGTGGGACTCGATTCTAGGACCCTGGGATCATGACCTGAGCCAAAGGCAGACACTTAACTGACTGAACCACCCAGGTGCCCCAATAAAAAGGACATTTGGAAGTGAAATGAAGCATTAGAATTTCTCATTTTAGGGAGGTGGTTTGTTTTTGGATGAAAACAATGTGTCTCAATTTTGTATGCTTAAGCTTTAAGTCTCCCAAAGATTGGAAATCAAAAAGAGAAAACATGTGATGTCTGTATCCAGTGTTCCTGGCATTTCTGCAAAAAACCCCAATATGCCTAGCATTCCCCTCACACACTTTGGACATGAGGCATAAATAGAAACAGCTTCTCATACAGATCCTCAGAAAATATGCACAGATTTCCCTGGGGCCCCAAGAACAAGGGAAAAGCACTGAGATCTCTGTGGCCCTCACAGACCAAGGGGAGGCCCTGGGCCCTCCCTGTGGATGTGATGGACCATCACTGGAGCTGAAGGAGGATCCTTAGAGTATGTAAGAGCTTGATAATGTTGGACAGCAGATGTCCCTCTGTGACAGCAAAAGAAATAAACCTAGGCTTCTCAAACTTATTTCCATTCAAAGAGAGCAAATCACACTTAAAGGTCTGTCTGGCTTTCTCCTTGAACGTTGGGCCTCACCTCCATTATCTGCTTCATTCATTTCCACCTACCTGGGTGTGTGGCTATGCTCTCCTTTCTCTTCACATCCCAGAGCTCCTTTTTTTGCTCCAAAAAGGTGACCAGGTCTGGCTTTGACACAACAAGATCTGTTTATTAAAAAAAAAAGAATATGAGTATTGCTGGAGGTTCTAATTTTCAATCCAGTTTTGCACTCAGTAAAGAGGACATCGTAGTATTCTAGAAAATGATTTCCCAAACATTGTTGCACAACAGCTCCTTTAGAACACAAAGGAGAGATTTCCAACTTTCAGATCTTAAGCCAAGTATTACTGATACAATAACAAGGGATTGAAATTAGAATTCAAGATGTGGGCAATACCATTTAATGTCACTCAATATTTAGAATTATCACTCATCTACAGTAAATGATGATGGTACCTTAAGGAAGGGGTAGCTAAAACTGAAGATGAAGCATCATGAAGAGTTTTATCTCAACACCTACAAATCCCTACTTCTTTCTCTTACTGCAGGGATCTGAATTCTACTCATGCAAAAAAGAATCTTCCAAGAGACATTCTTCAAGGAAGGAACAAAACCCTGAGTGTGGATTTGGAACCATGCCCCATGAAGTTAATGAGGCTAAAACTGTCACCAGTAAGACCCCCACTGACCCTCCCTCTTATTTAAGGAATGCTAATCTTATCTTTAGGACAAGACAAAAGCTCTGGCCAACATAGAGCAGTTTGAGCTTCCTGGATAGATTCACACCTAAGAGGTGGACCGTGAAGTGTCAGACACCTGTAGTTCATTATAATAAAATTTCCACCCAAGAAGGAGCCCCGGTTTGATTAATACAACATGGGATACATGTTTAGGCTTGTTTCCTAAGTACACATGTGTTTGCGTGCCTACCTTATACCCAACACTATGTATGATGATAAAACTCCCCTTTCAGATATTCATCCTAACCCTAAATAAGAGGAAGCCACTCACCCCTGCTCTTGGCGTCACAGCTTTGGAAGTTATTCCCTTGATCTCCTTATATGCTGCAAATACAGTTTCCACTGAGTGAGACCTCCATATTGTGTAGCTTCTACCTGTAACTCACCATGGAGTGAACTCATGTTAGTTCAGTTACAGGACCTTATCCTCACCCAAGAAGAGGAGGTGTCCGTAGTTCTCTAACATCACATCCCTGTACAGTTCCCTCTGAGTGTGGTTCAGGCATCCCTGCTCCTCTTGAGAGAATTCGATGGCCACATCCCTGAATGTCAGCAGTCCCTGCAATAAATACCACAGTGACCAAGTGGCCATTGACAGAGTTCATAATTTTACCTAAGGTGAAAAGAAGGAATTAGGACAAATGGTTCTGGCTGAGGTGAGTGTCCTGCTTTATCCAGTAAGATAATTTTTAACACAGTAATATACTTCTATTTATTCTCTAAATTTTAGGTAACAAGGTGGCATATGATCCACAGAACCACTATAAATCCTCTGTATTTCTCCAAGTTGAAACTGAAGGTTTCAATAGAGGCATACACATGTTTGAGTACTGTATTTATATCATACAGTATAAGTTGTGTATATTTCTTAAATGAAAAGTTTGAGTGGGTTAAAAATATATCTTATTTTTTTTTAAAAAAGATTTTATTTATTTATTTGAGAGAGAGAGAGAGTGAGAGAGAGCATGAGAGGAGAGAGGGCCAGAGGGAGAAGCAGACTCCCCGCCGAGCAGGGAGTCTGATGTGGGACTCGATCCAGAGACTCCAGGATCATGACCCAAGCCGAAGGCAGTCGCTTAACCAACTGAGCCACCCAGGCGCCCAAAAATATATCTTATTCACATTAGAATTTCACAGCAGTGATTTGGAGATCTTGTTAAAATGCAGGCTCTGATTCAGGAGTTAGGATGGGAACTGAGTCTCATTTATAACAAGGTATTTGCCTAAGGATGAAAGGATACACTTTTGAATAACGAAGAGGTAGGACTCCAAGGAAAAGAATTTTCAGAGTATGGGAAATCAATGGGTTTATTACAGCTTCTACTATAAAAGCAAGAAAGGCAACAATACTTTCTGAGCATTAGCAGTTACTAGATTCTAACAGTTTTTATAGATTAACACACACGCATAAAATAAAAAACACAGAAAATTAATCTAGAAAACCAAACATATTATTCTTCCTCTTTTTTGAAAATATTTTGGAGCGCCTGGGTGGCTCAGTCGTTAAGCATCTGCCTTCAGCTCAGGTCATGATCCTGGGGTCGTGGGATCGAGTCCCGCGTCAGGCTCCCTGCTCCGCGGGAAGCCTGCTTCTCCTTCTCCCACTCCCCCTCCTCGTGTTCCCTCTCTCGCTGTGTCTCTCTCTGTCAAATAAATAAAAAATAAAAATCTTAAAAAAAAAAGAGAAAAGATTTTGTTACACTTCCAGTAAATGTAAGAAACTAGATTTTAACCTAAGATCTCTGACCTAGAATTTATCTAGGCTCCCGCTCAGTGGGGGGCCTACTTCTCCCTCTGCTGCTCTCCCTGCTTGTGCTCTCTCTCTCTGTGTCAAATAAATAAAATCTTAAAAGAAAGAGAGAACATTTCTCAAAGTTTCAGGACAGTAATTCAAAGTGACAACTGTTCATGCCTATTTGGAAGCTAGGTTGGAGAAAATGGAGAGAAGGCTCTGGAATATAGCAAAGAAGTATTCTAAAGAGCTAACCTTCAGTATCATTTTTAAAAAATATTTTATTTATTTGAGAGAGAGAGAGAGTGCATGAGCGGGGGGAGGAAGAGGGTGAGGGAGAAGGGCTCTATTCCAGGACCTTGAGATCATAACCTGAGCCAAAGGCAGACGCTTAACCCACTGAGCCACCCAGGTGCCCCCAGTATTATTTCTTAAAAGATTTTTTTTTAAATAAACTAATGTTTGATTTTTTTAAAAGATTTTATTTATTTATTT